TAAAAAAAAAAAAAAAAAAAAAAAAAAAAAAGAACAAAATAATAATAACGGAATATAATTTTTTGTTTTCCAAGCAACCATAAATGAAGACGGAGGAGTTTAACGATAACCAAAGCTTCTCTCTCTCTCTCTCACACACACACACTTTCTCTCATATACTTAGCCATATATATTACCATAACAGGTGTGTACACCAACGAAGCATCGATTTATATCAGCGTCGTGTTAAGTGACAACGCCATTATTCTAACCGAGGCAATTCCTTCGGTCGCTTTTAAAAGGATTCCCGTATCAATGGAACATCACATCAATGTCATACGTCGAACAAGAGAATGAAAGATATCCAAACCCGCTCTCCCCCCTCCCCCCCACCCTCTTTTATGAAAGATAAAGCTAGAAAAAGTTAGATGGGTAATTATTTATCATTAAACATATAATGCAATCTTCGTGTTAATTATCTATCGAAATATTAAACCATATAATATATAAGAAAAAGATATAGATAGATAGATCATCTTTAAGAAGTGTAATATAATCTTAAGAATTTGACCTTGACAAATTATACCTTAAATGACAATGAAAATAAATGATACGTCATTCATATTGTATTATATATATTTATCAAGTTCCCGTCATATTTCTTCTTCTTCTATTACGTATTATTAATTCATAGGGTGTATGTTCGTTTTAAAGCTTTATAGGTTCATTCTGATTTTACGTGTCGTATAGCTAATTAATTTACGCAACTCCCCTTCGGGGGATTAGCTTAGCAAAATTAGTAGCTTATACATCAATCATCCCTCTAGCATGCAAGAGCATGCCTCTAGGTAAACCTTGTAGTAGGGGGTGGTTTAGAGAAACCTCCACCCGTAACACTCTCGTACATTCTCAATCCTTCCTCTTCTCAAACTACAAATACAAAATATACATACATATATATATATATATATGTATGTATGTATATTGTATTATATAAAAGTAAAACTACACATATCATAATAATTCTCATTGAGCATCGTATTAGTAACGAAATCGTATTTTCACGAGGTAAATTTTTTTTGAAAATTATTCGTAAAACGTTTGTTATAGATACGGTCAAAAGCTCGTGGCGAGAGGCGGGAAAATAATAAACCGGTAAGATATTATCAATCGTAATTCCTTAGAGAACGTTACACATTATACTTTTGGAATATATATTTTATATACATATATAGTATATATATATAAAATATATAATAAAATATTCAATTGTTAAGTCTTTAAAGAACGATACACATTATACTCGTAGAATATACTATATATATATATATATATATATATGTAAATGTAATACTCATACTTATATCTATTCTTGTCTATTCCATTTTCTTCCTCATCTTTCAACACCTCGATTCTGTTACTATAATATATATATATATAGCTTTTCAATGTATTTATTTACAGTAGTTCTGATACGAATCGTCTTATTTTCCTCTGTAATACCCTATGGTACATATATTACGTAGTTGAAAAGAGAAATGGTATGGCGAAGAATAAATATTGAATCTTATATACGAGAATGACAAATAAAAAGAATCTTTTTAAATCTTCTTGGTAATCTAAAATTCTCGTTATTGAAAAAGAGAATTCTTAAGAGCAAGCTTTCGAGAAATGTCATTCGAGATAAACGTTTTAAATTGAATATATATTGTTAAATAACATTTATTTTTTTTTAACATATATATATATATAGTCAATAGATAAGATACGAGTGTTGTTTATTTAGATTTAGATTTACTAAAAAGTAAATAAAATATGAAATATTACAAAATTATTTAACGTTATATAAATATATTTATTTAAAATATTATTTATTCGACCGATTTATATTATAATGTATTATATATTTTATTCATATATATTTACAATTAGTAAATCGTTTATAAAATCGCGTATTTACTAATTATTTCATTAAAAAAAAAAAACAGAAACTAGCTTTTAATTTCAATCTATCTGATATAAGATTTAAACGAAATCGTAAAGGCGGTACGGCGGTACGTTAATCAAATCGTCAATTTGGTTTCGGTAAAATCTTCTCATTAACAGCTATACGAGTACTTGCAAGGATCCAAAGTGAAATAGAATGGGGGGGGGGAAAGAAACGAAAGGAAAAATAATTGCATTGGGGGGGATAGGACGCATATCTCGTCAAGATTTGGGTCAAGTGGTGGAAAAAAAAGAGGAAGGAAAATCGTGAGAAAGAAAGAAAGAAAGAAAAAAAAAATAAAAGAGAAATAGAAAGAAAAAAACAGAAAGAGAGAGAGAGGTCAGCTTGATGAAGTCCGTAGGATCATCGCAATTCTATTTTTATCTCACTTGTCTACGAATCATACGAGAATTCTAATATCCTACACTTGTTATCCCAACTTGACACATTTGATAAAACTCACATTTTTGTTAGAAATATCAAATATCATCGAATAGGAATGTATCATTTTGTTTCCTGTTTTTTTTTTTTTTTTATAGTAATACTTATTACATAAACATTTCTTCTACTTATATTTTTTTGTTCGATATAATATATATAATTATAATTATAATTATTTATATTTATATTATAATTCATAATAATTATTAACAGTTTCGTATATCAATCATATTATCGATTGAAACAGTCGTAGATATATTTTCAACACACACACTGTATAAATATACAAATAGTTAACGTGAAATTATTTTTGGATATTATTTACGAAACCCTTTTTTCTCTCTCTCTCTCTTTTAATAAAAATGTCAAATCGATTAGACAAAAATTTGATGTCATTTTCCGTGTCAACGAAAGGGACGGAAGGGGTGGTGGTGGTGGTGGTCAACGGATATGGATCATTTTAAATAACAAAAATATGAAATGTTACTTTCGTATTTTGTGTATTCGTGAATGAAAAAAAAGAGATGGGGTTGATAGGGTGAAATGCGTAACGAATCGGAACACATGGACACCTGGGTTTGTTATACGAGATGTGGACACACGTGCAAAATTTGATAATATATCATCGCAACGTTGGTATTACATCAGAATCTCCCTCGTGATTTCACAATACATCGACGACGTACATTATACACGTGTGTGTGCGTGTGTGTATGCGTTAGGAACACAAAGGTAGTAACGTAATTCCGAATTCAGAAGCTTGTTGTGCGTTATGTTGCTTTTGCATGTCACTACTAAACCCAACTCACAATATAAATTCGGCTTTGTTGAATCTGACGTTCTTAATTTTCTTATTAATAAAACCCTCCCACCCGTTCATACATATCTGTTTTATTTCAATCATCATTTCACATTTCGAATAGATGGTTAAGATCTTTTATTAAAAATTATAAAATATATATTCAAATATAAAAAAGAATAATGTGTGAATATAATATTTTGTTAATAACAAAAACGTGTATAAAACTTTCCCTTCGCGTACAGAGGCTTCTTTTTTCTTGTTTTTTTATATGATAGATTAGAGTCATAGTTAAATAACAGATATATGACAAGAATGTAAAAAAAATATAATTGATATTTAAATTAACATAAGTTGTTTGTTAAAACTTTCAAATTATTTCTAATCGACAATCGTTATATAGTCAAAGTTTTAAATAAATATCTTAAATACACCCGATACAAAAATAAAGGGAAAAATAAAAAAGAAAACTAAAAAAATGTTATTTATTCGTTTGCAATGTTACAGTGTAGCGGTAATGCGGTGAGATGTTTTGCCGGTGGTCCACGTAAAAGCAACGAGTCGCAATGTCCGATGTTGCAGAAACCAATACTGTCATCATCGACGACAACGATGACCCCGTCGATAATGACGATGTCAAAACCAACAACGGTGATAAGGAATCATTTGAATAGCACGTGCAGCGTGACCAATTCACCACATCAGAAAAAATTAAGGTTCCATTTGGCAAAGGAACGTAAAGCCAGTACAACGTTGGGCATCATAATGAGCGCATTCATCATCTGTTGGTTACCATTTTTCGTTTTGGCATTGATAAGGGCATTTTTAACAGACCCACAAGCTGTACCAACATTTCTATCAAGTCTTTTCCTTTGGTTAGGCTATTGCAATAGCCTATTAAATCCAATTATTTACGTAACACTTACAAGAGACTTTCGCAAACCATTTCGTGAAATACTTTGCTTCCGTTGCAGCAGCTTAAATCACATGATGCGAGAAGAATTTTATCAAAGTCAATACGGGGATCCGGTTAACAATTATGAAATAAAAGCAGGTGAAACCGAAAGCGGTGATAGATTAGACGATCAAGGAGTTGAATCTATTGACGTCGTAGCCAACACTCCTAACGAAAGCTTTCTGTGATCCCAGTGAATAATTTCGTTGACTAGACGAATTTATCGAGCTTCCTCCTGGCTTATTCTTACTTCGAATTCTTATTCAATGATAAAATTACTACTACGACCAAGTTCTTTTCAAATTTTTATTCAATATCGATAATCGATTCTTTTTTTTTTTCTTTCTGTTTTTTCGTAGCAGGAGGAGAAGGAGGAGGAGGATTAACATTCGAACTTTATTCCAGATTTTTCATCATTTCCCTACCCCCCCCCCTACACCCCCTCTTCTTTTTTGAATACATAATATGAAAAATGTTGTTAACTTATTCACGTATATGGGATTGGATCAATTCCTATTCGTACTTTCTTTTCGATTATTTCAATTTTACAATCGTGTGTTATGCAATATTTGTATTGCACAGTTGTGAGAGAAAATATTTCTTATTTTTTGTTCTTAAAGAAAGGATAATTTGTATATAATAAATGTTAACAAAATTGATCTCCCAAGGGATGATGATGATGATGATGATGATTATACGTGTAAACTACTTTGAGTAATTTAGATGATTCCAAATTTATTTCGAATACTTTCGATCGTAAATAGAAATGGAGTGAAAATGGAATTTTCAATAATCTTGATGTAGGATTTTATACGGGGCGGGGGGGGGGGCGGCGGCGGAGGGAGAAAACTCAAGCGTGACTTATTGTTAATGGAATAAAAAAAAAAGAAAAAGAAATATAATCGTGCGAAGTCAAAAAGAAATGGAAAAAAGAAATAAAAAAAGGACAGAAGTTTCCTTCGAGTTTACGAGCAACAACAACGGTTACTTTCCGTTGGTTCTGGAAAAAAGTTCCTAAGGAAAATGAAAAGAAGAAAAAGAAAAAAAAAAGTCTTCACGGAAAGTGGTGTAAAGTGAAAGAAAGAGATAGATAGATAAATGGTAAGAAAAGAGTGCCTATGTTTTCTCTCTCACTCACTCACTCACTCACTCACTCACTCACTCTCATACTACTTTATACCAAATCTTGACCAGACATCTTAGGTTTTTCCGGATTTACTTCTCTCCTTTTCATCGTTCTATCGTGTTCCCAACGTGAACATCTTGCTTGTTCACCTCCTCCTCCTCCTCCTCCTCCTCCTTTTCGTGTCTCTCACGATTTTCTAACTCAACTTTTTCTCTCACGTCGTAGAACAAAATATCTTAAATCGTTCGACGAGAAATAAAAATGAAATTTAAATAAATAAAACAAAAGAAAATAAAAAGAAAGCACACAGTGATAGTTTGAATTGATAAAATGGACAAATTTTGAACGAAAAATAATTTTGTCTTCTTTTTTTATTTCCGATGAAATAACAATAATTATTATTATTATTATTAATAATCAATTAACCGTTGGATTTGGAACGATAGGAAATATAAATGAGATATATATATATATATTTATGTTCTTTCGTTGTATGTCGTTTCAATAAAACGCGTATTCGTATTATAAATAAATGAATCTATATAACTTAAATATGTCCATTAAACTCTTAATACTTGTCATCGTATAGAGACCATTATTGTTCGAGAATACTTAACGTATTATGTAAAAGCCGGTTTGACATTGGTTTCCTAAACGATTTATAATTGTCGATATTTTACAACGGACAAATTGCATACGAACGAAAGGGGGAAGTAACTACAAAACTTCATATATTTCATTATTAAATCGTATCACATATTATATAATCGTATCTCATCTTCTCGTCATTTGTAATTAAGATTTTATTCATAAACGTGTTTTTTGTTTCACGTCGCATCACGTGGTAACATCATTTTTTCAAAAGATCAAATATATCAAGATTTTCATTTTTATTATTTATTTATTTATAATATACCGTTATACATACGTAAGTAAAGAGACAAAAAGTGATTAAAATTAATATCTCGTATCTATCTATCATTAATCTTTAACATTTTTCGCGAATATAAAAATCTTACATATGGGGTATTCGAAAACAACAACAAGAAAATGCATAAATTCATTGATATGAATTTCTTTCTCTTCTTTATCATTTCAATATAGCTACTTACGAAAGAACAAAAAAATAAAATAAAATAGAAGAAAGAAAATGTGTATGAAAGAAAGAAAGAAAAAAAAAATTCCAAGAAGAAGAAAATAATAATAATAATAATAATAATAATAATAATAATAATCGAGCATTCACGTGTCACAGAGGGAAACACACTACGCTTCTTCTCGCTTAGAATCGCGTCGTGTCCTCAATTTATAATTTTTTCTCGCATGAACGATGTGAAAAGCTAAGATATATAACCCGCCATTGTAAAATGAAGTACATACAACACACATCATGTATCTTTTCTCTGGTTAATCCATACATCCTTTTGTCGTTACGAAGAAGAACAAGAATAAATAAAACCAAACAAAACAAAAAATGAAGAAGAAAACGAAAAGAACGAACGAAATATATTGACTTAACAATATATACATATACATACACATAAAAAAAGAGAGAGAGAGAGAGAGAGATAAAAGGAAATGATGGGAAAGGGTTGTTTTTTTTTTTGTTCCATTGCATCATAATAAAATACTGAATTTATTCGATGAAAAAAAAAGGGTTTAGTTTCTATAACAACGTTGTTGTTTATTGTTGTTGTTCTTGTTGTACTTGTTGGTTGTTCTTGTTGGTTGTGTAGTGTAAACGTGAAATCATTGACCCGGAAGTCGGAAGCAAGTAGCAAGAGTTTACGAAAAGCCCTCGCTAGCTAGCTAGCTAGCTAGCTGTGCTAACTGTGCTGAGAAGAGTTGGAAGAGCAAACAAACTTGCGTCGTAGCATATAAGCAACGTGTCGCATAGCTGACAAAACCGCGACCATGACACTATAAGGGTTGAGGGGGAGCTGGGGGGGAGCTGGAGGGGGAGGAGAAAAGTGGGAGGAGAATAGTAGGGATGATGATGTGAGGAAAATGACATGGAATAGAGCTTAGAACCGTTCCCTCATTTTCGAACCTATCTCTGGTGTACGCCCTTCACCTCATCCCCCCCCCCTTTACCCCTCCCTTTCTTCTCTCATCGATTAAACCACACAATGAAATTTGTGGAATGTTGAATAATAATAATAATAATAATAATAATAATGGGGTATCTAATGGTTGAATATTATCTCTTCTAACGCGCACACGTATTATTATGTATATGCGTATATATTACAATGGGGTTTGGTTTGTAATATATATATATATGTATTGTATTGTAACTTTTGGTTTATTTTATTTTATTTTTTTTCTTGTCTTTTATTTTCTTTATATAAACGAGAAAGAAAGGATGCAAAAAAATATAATGGGATGAATATTTTTGTTGGTTTTTTTTTGTTTTGTTCTTTCGTTTGTTCCTTTTTTTAACTTTTATATTAATTCTCTTTAGTTTTGATATTTATTTAAAAAAAAGAAAATAATATAAAGAGTGCGACTATTATTACATCGGAGAGAGAAAGAAAAACTTCTATAATGGTTATTAACACAAATTCTTTGTCATAATATGAGAATAAGAAAAAGACAAAAAAAAAAAAGAAAAAAACGAATATATTCTTGATGATTATACATACGCACACATATAAATCGAGTAAAGAGAAAAATTCAAGTCACTTATGAGAAAAGGATTAATTGTAAATGAGACGAGAAGAAAATTTACAATCGAATCATCAAGATTTTTATCCTTTGGTGTATTTGGAAAATAGAAAAACAAGAAGAAGAAGAAGAAGAAAAAAGAAAATAAAAAGAATTTTTATCGAATCAATGGGGCAGTACATATATAAGAAGAAAAAAAAAGATGTAATATTAGAATTTTAAATTAGAAATTAGAACGAATCGAACGAGAAAGTGATGCACGATTGTGGTTTATCGAAAAAATATGTATTATGTACATAATA